GGCATGCAGAGGAAGCGGGTGTTTATGTAGGGGGCTGCGGGGCTGTAGGCAAGAGGGGGCGGGGGGACGGGGCGGGTTGGGGGGGGGGGGGGGGGGGGGGGGGGGGTATGGGCTTCCTGGTTTCAGGTTTGAAGCCAGGAGCTCTGTTAGGCTGGGAGTTAAGACCTTTCACTCCCCAGGAAGGGGCTGAGAGAAGCAGCAGAAAGCTAGGCCTTAATCTAATCAAGAAGAAGCTACCAGGAGAGATGGAGGGAGGGGTAGAAGCTCAGTTTGTTTGCCTAGGAGCAAGGATCTGAGTGTAGATGTGTGCTTTCTCTGTTCTCCTCCTCTTTTCCTCGAGTGTAGCTGCAGTACTGAAGGACTGGAGAGGGCAGTGGAATGGAGACCACCACCCTCTCTGCTCCCAGAAGGAGCGGCTCCAAAGGGATGCAGAGAAATGGCACCTTACTGGGTGGTGGTGGCGCACACCTTTAATCCCAGCACTTGGGAAGCAGAGGCAGGCGGATCTCTGTGAGTTCCAGGCCAGCCTGGTCCAGCGAGAGTTCTAGGACAGGCTCCAAAGCTACATAGAGAAACGCTATCTCGAAAAATCAAAGAGAGAGAGAGAGAGAGAGAGAGAATGATAGAAAGATAGATATAGATCCTCCCTTTGGATTGTACATTCAGACTTGTGCAAGAAAAGAGGGTGGCCAGTGGGCGGAGGGTGAGTCAGAAGGGAAGCCGGACTCTTGGCCTGCAGGTCTCCTCCACCTTCCCTGTACAGTTCCAGCCGCCACTCCTGCTCCAGCGGCCCTCTCCCCAGAGAGAGAATATTATACTTAGGGGGACAAAGGAAATTCAACCTGCCTCCAGTCCTTGTCCACGCCACTGACCCAGTGTTCAAATTTCAGGAGCCCCAAGGGAATCCTGTCTCCCTGTCTAGAAGACATGAAGGCATCTTGCAGCTCTCTGGTCCCATTGACGGGTCACAGAAGGATTATTCCAAAGCTCCCAAAGTCTTCCACACCCCAGCTATGCAGTGTGGTTTTTTTACTAGGAATTCCCCAGGGCTCCCTTGGCTCCACCACACTGTCAAAGCAACTGGCTTTTCCATCTCTCATGGGCCACCCTTCCCCTCCTTCCTCGGCCTCTGCCAGCTGAACAGTCAAGGTCAAGGGGCCTGGGACAGCTGCAGGCCTCCTGTGGACACGACCCCTGACCTGCCCCACGGACATAAGAAGGTTCTAGTTCTAAGTACCTAAGAAGGAACAGTGTTTAGCAGAGTCCAAGTCAATAGCTGGTTGGTACCCCAGGGGCCCCTTGGGGAGATAGAGCAGGGAACATGTCTTTACATCTTTCCCCCAAGTCTAAAGACCTTAACCCTAGAGGTGACTAGATGTAAAAAACAAAACAACAAAACCAGCCGGGCGATGGTGGTGCACGCCTTTAATCCCAGCACACGGGAGGCAGAGGCAGGCGGATCTCTGTGAGTTCGAGACCAGCCTGGTCTACAAGAGCTAGTTCCAGGCAGTCTCCAAAACCACAGAGAAACCCTGTCTCGAAAAACAAAAACAAAAACAAACAAACAAACAAAAAACTGTGCCATTGACCATTTTAAGACAAAAGCAGAATCTGTGCGAGGAAGAAGGATCTCCCAGGACAAGGGTTCCTCTGGCCCTGCCCTTCCCAGCCGGGGACTGTCCCTAAACTGCAGGACTCTGTCGAAGGGACGGAAAGCCGTCAATCAGGTGTGTCGGAGAGGTCAGGTAGCGCTTGTTCCTGGCAGAACCAGCCCAGCATCTCTGTCAGGCAGTCCGGGGCACTGACGCACACTTGGGCACCCTTCCGGATCAGTGCACACTCACCCCACCCCCACCCCCACCCCGCCAGAGCTTCAGGGAGCAGGAGGACAAATCTAGCCAGCCTAATCTCTGCAGCAAGCTTCAGCTTTTGAAAGAGCCTCCCCCAAAGAAAGATGCAGAGTCTCCCCACCCCCACCCTGTTATCAGATCCCCCGGGCAGGCCTATCTCCACAGCCTGCGTTTGCACCAAGACTGTGGGTGGGACTGGGGGCTGGAAAAAAGACTGTCCTTGCCGTCCTCAGGACTCCCACCCAGCAGGATTAGGAGAATCTCATTGTTCTGCTCAGACACAGCTGGTCTTCCTGCAGGGGGCAGGGCCCCTGGAAACCTAAGCAGGAACTCCCAACCTGGCAATGTATTGTGTGCGTGGCAGGGCCTGCCATCAGCCATACTAGCCCTTGGATTCCTGACCTTCCTGCCTCTTCTACTCCCCAAATGCTGTCGGGGACTGCAGGTGTGCACAGCAGCCTCAGCCTGTTCTAGTCACTTCTGTAGATGGTGTTTTCCCCATCTAGTCTCACAGGTTGCGAGTGGGGTAGATTATGACTGTTGTCCCCTTGGGGAGAAGAGTCGTTCCCACAGCTCAAGACTCAGGCTTAGTCACCAGGCCAATGCAGGTCTCCCCAGCACCAGCTGCTGCCAGAGCGCTTCAGTCAGCAGGATTGAGCTCTTGGAGGTGGCGTAAGGCCAGGAACCACTTTCCATTCTTACCACATCCTCCAGCGGGGGACAGATTCAGGATAGCGTGAGGACTAGGGCAGCAGAGATGGTCAGAATGGCTCAAGGGCTAGGGTACTCAGACACCTAAGAGTAGCCAGACCGCCGCAGGTAGATGGAGGAGCAGCTGGTCTCAGAGGCAAGGGTCAGAGAAGGCGAGAAGTCAAAAAACTAGATCCGGCAACCACAGCTTTAAGGGTTTGTACCGGCCATCCCATAAGTACACAATCTAATTTGTCAGTGTTCGTTTTGTTAACTCAGGAGCATTCTCTCTTCCCCTTCCCACTCTCCACGCAAATCCCAAACTCTCCACAGGGCTAGATAAGGCGAGAAGAAACTACCAGATCAAAACAAGAGCCAGAATCATCCAACTTTAATAACTTACAGGCAAATGCTTACAAAAAAAAAAAAAGTAATACGGAGGACACGCAAAGCTTATAAAAACGGGTTTGGGGACTCTACAAACGTGGGGAGGACTCGTGGCTCTTTCACAGACACAATGATTGTGCCCAGAAGAGCAGCTGAGGAGCCCCCGCCCCCAACTGTGGGGAGAGGGAACACGTTCTCCATTCATCCCGAATGCATTCTCTGGGCAACTGTCTGCACACCCTCCCCCTGCAAAAACAAAAATACACATCCAAATAAACGGCTAGGGAAGGACTCGGAGAGAACCAGGGTCGAGGTAGAGTCAGCATATACATTTCCGTTTCCGGTCTTCCAGCCCCTACCCTCTAAGAGGTGAAGGGCAGAGAAGACGCTTCATCTCCCCTCCCCCACGTGGCACCGAAACAGGACCTCCCCCATGCTCCTTCAGTCCCTTGAGGTGGCCAGGTCCGGCACCCACGCTGGCTGGGAGGGCACTGGCCCTGCCTGCCTATCATTTATGCACTGACCCCTAGTAGGTGGGGTAGGGGCAGCCTCGGGTCACCGTCTCTTCTTGCTTGCCCGAGGTGCCTTCTTCCTCTTCAGAATCATCTCGTACAGGCGCTCGAGTCCTGGCTGCAGGCCCAGCCCGTCCACGGCGCTGCAGCCCTGCACGTGGGTGAGCGTGGCGGCTGCCAGCTCCCGGACCGCCAACCTCTTCTCCACCTCAGCCGCACTCAGTGCCCCCGGTTGGTCCTGCTTGTTGGCCAGCACCAGCACCGGCACCCCCTGTTTGTCGGAGGCTTTGCTGATTCGGTGCAGCTCCACCTTGGCCTCCTCTAACCTTTCAGTCTCTGCTGAGTCCACCACAAACACCAGTCCATCTGTCCGGCGGGTGTAGGAGCGCCATAGTGGCCGCAGCTTCTCCTGACCCCCAACATCCCACACTTGGAAAGTAACTCCACGGGACCCCCCCAAGGGCACTCGGATCTTCTCAGTGTTGAAGCCCTTGGTGGGGACACTCTGGACAAACTCCTTGAACTTGAGGCGGTAGAGAAGGGAAGTTTTCCCTGCCGAGTCCAGCCCAATGACCACAACGTGCAGGGCCTGGAAGTGGGGCAAAAAGGATGAGGCTGTGGGTGCCATGTCAGTCAAGTGATTCCCCATGGTGAGCTAAGGGTGCAGGGTGGACCTGAGGAGAAGGCCTGGAGTTCCAGCAGAGGCCAGGAGGAGGAGGCCTTGAAATGGCAGGTAGCACAAACTGGGTTATCTAAACAAGGAAAAGTCAAGAGAGGAAAGAAAAAGTAAGGGTTAGAATAAACACGACTTTACCACTTCTGGACCCTTTCCTAAATCAACATCCCATTATTCTAAAAATCCTCTTTATTAAAACGGATTTTTACGTGTCTCTCTTTTCACCCTAAAAACTATTTTGTGCATGTGTAAGCCACACACAGCTTGAGTGTGGGATTCAGGACCACTTGTTCGTGTATGTGGGTCTCAGGGACCTAATAGGATCCTCGGGCTTCTGGACAGGCGCTTTTAACCACTAAACCATCTCACGTGTCTGCCTCCTTACCCTTTAAAACGAAAAAAGAGGCTACAGGTGTAACACGGACGTTCTCATGCCCCAGGGGCCCTAGAAGAGGCTCTCAGGCCGGAGATAACCTCAGGTATACTAGGATCCTCGAGGGTGCGGGATCTTGCGGGATAGATCCCACGGAAGGTCGTTTTGCTGCAACCTTCTTCCAGCCTGAGGAGTGGAAGCAGACGCTGTGACCTCCATTCCCCAGAGGAGAATCCTCGCAGGAAGGAGGTGGCCGGGTAGTGTGCCCCAAGTAGAAGTCCTGATCCGGGTCCGGCTCCCACACGCCCTCCTCAAACCCACACCGCTGACACGCCCTCGGGGGCCGTGACCGCCATCCCCCCCCCCCCCCCCACGATTCTGCGGTTGCCCTGCCTNCAAGCCGGCGGCTCTGCACCGCCCGGGCACACACCCCCCCTCCCCTTACCTTCGATTAGCCGCGCTCGCCGCCGGCTCCAACGACTCGACACACCAGCACGCCGCGTTTCAGCCACAGCGGACTTTGCAGCGCTGCTGGTCAGGTTGAGCATTAAAAACCCTCTGGTGACGCCAGATGACGCGGACCAATCAGCGTCCCGCAGGCGGAGCTTGAAAGGGAGCCAGCGGGCTCTGCAGCTCGCTCTATCCGGAACCTCCTTATTTAATCTTTTTCTACCTTATTCCAGTATTTGGAACAGAGCCTGGAATTCATCAGGGATGACAGGTGGGAAGGATCGAAGGAACAGGCGTCTCCGCGTCTTACGACAGCAGGAAAAGAGAAGTCTTTACACTAACACCACCCCATCCCTTTCCCGCAGACGGAGCTGCTGGCCCCACCAGCCGTCTCCCTCTACCTAACGCTCCAAGAGATGCTGGCAAGTTCTCTATCTTTCCTCATTCAGCCGTCTTCTAGCATTCTTCGTCCAGTTTTCCACACAGTGTTTACCTAGAACCCGCATACAGACGATTCACGATTCACAGGACTTAACCCGTTACTGAGACAGGGTCTCACGCAGCCCGTTGGCTTTGAACTTATTTTATAACAAGGATAACCCTGAACTCCTGAGTCTCTTACCTCCACCTCCCAAGGGCTGGGATTGCAGACACACACCTGAGCACTGGGATTAAAGGCGTGGGCCACCACCGCCCGGCAATATTAGGGTCTTTCTATACATCCCGGAACTCACTAATGTACACCAGGCTGGCCTCAAACTCAAACGTCCACCTGCTTCTACCTTGGAATGCTGAGATGAAAAACACTGGCCGTCATACCCAACTACTGTCGTGTTTACTGTTTTGTTTTTTGAGATGGAATTTCTCACGATGTCGTCTAGGATAGTCTGGACTCAACCTGTGTGCCTCAGTTTCTCGAGTGCTGCGACCCCTGGCCCCATTGCCCCTACTGATTCTCACGATAGCATGTTAGGGACTGTTGTGTGTCTCTTACAGGTACAGAGCGCTCCAGAGGGTTAAAGGTCTTGTCTACAATCCCATACAGGCAGTATGTGGCGAGGTCTGTCTGAATCCGGTGCCAGGACACACACCACTTGGCTGCCATCTTCTCATGGGCCAGCCATAGGGCTAGGCAGCCTTAGTGGGAATTCCTCCACCAAGGCTACTCAGACCAACCTCAGAGCTCCAAGGGCCTGCCTTGTTAAAATAGACTTTAAAAGGCTGGGCATAGTGGCACACACCTAGTCTCAGCTCTCCACACGGAGGTAGGGGAATCTCTTGGTTAGGCCAGCCTAGTCTACACAGTGAGTTCCAGGACAGCCAGCATTACACCGTGAGGATCGGCCTAAAAAATACAATAAAAATAGACTTTAAAAGACAAAATTCCAAGCCAGGCAGTGGTGGCACACATCTTTAATCCCAGCACTTGGAAGGCAGAGGCCAGTTTATGTTTGAGTTCAAGCCAGTCTGGTCTACAAAGCTAGTCGCAGGAGAGCCAAGGCTACACAGAGAAACCTTACTTCAAAAAAAAAAAAAAAAAAA